ATCCCTGTATAGCAAACGAAACATTAACTACAACTGTAATTAAGTTTAGTGAGAATTATAGTTTCACATACAGGTCTTGGAGAATGCTGAGGTTGGCAAGCAAGTCAGATGGTAGCTCCTCCAAATGGTTGCGACCCAGGTCTCTGAAAGAAACGAATACATTTACAACAGCGGGAAAAACCTATAAAAAACTCTGATTAATTTCAGAAGTAATTAACCTTTACGAAGCCAAAACATGTAGCACGCAGACCAAAAATGATAAAGTCTTGTACCATATAACGCACAATTTTTTCACTTTCTTCTCAAAGAATAGGAGAGGTGGTCATTTTTTGTCCCTCGCCGTCTTTTCAGTTGCTTGCCAGTTGATCATTTACTAATTGTATTTAATTAATCGTTCAGCAATGTAAAAGCATAACTTCAATTATTCGATATTTCAAGCCTCTCCAGGAGCCTTCTTCCATCTCATTCTGTTCCTTATTCAGGCATAGCTTTGCTTTTAGACAAACAGATATGATAATATAACTGAACGTAAAGATCTATGAGTCTTCCTGACTTTGGAAACAAGCCGGGAGGTAGTTAAAACGAAGCGGATAAAAAGTGTCGGGGCTAGTATTTCAAAGCAATAATCCCGCTTTGAGCCTGTTTAGAAACTTATTATGATGGCTGATTTTTTATTTTAATACAAGTAGAAGGCGTTTACCACTTGTCTAACCGTATGAATGAATAAATATCATTTTAAGAACTTTCATGAGATTTTGTGAGCTTTCATGAGATTACCATAAGAATAAAGAATATTTCAATGATCGGGGCAGACGGTTTTGATATACAACGGTCATGTTGTGACTCGCTTATGAATGGTTTAGCTCATACCTAGATAATCGCCATCAACAATGTTTTGTAAATGGTTCGCTCTCAATTAGTCAAGTTCTCACTTGTGGAATTCCGCAAGGAACAATTCTAGGACCTTTGCTTTTTGTTCTATACATAAATGATCTTCCTAATTGCCTGTCTAATTCAGTTGCACGTATGATGCCGACGATACTACCTCTCCTTTGCCAGTAACAACATAGAAATGATCAATGATGTTATGAATCACGACCTATCCAATGTTAACACCTGGCTCACTGCAAACAAATTGACTCGAATTCATGTTAATTGGATCGCGGCAAAGGATAGGTACCCACGATAAAACTAATCATAGGTGGTGACATAATTAAACAAGTGCTCAGTCAAATCTCTGGGTGTACATATTGACGAAAACCTTTCATGGAATATGCACATTGAAAAAATAGCCAAGAAAATCGCATCGGGCATTGGAGCAATTAAACGTTGTAGGCCTTTTGTTAATCGAACCACGCTTGAGTCCGTTTTCAATTCTTAGTTCAACCGTATAATTACTGCAAGGTATTGTAACAAGGCGTTTTCGAATAAGCTCCAAAAGTTCAAAATGTTATGACACAAGGCTGATCCTCTTTTTGTGCACTTAACTGGAGACGGTTAGAATGACCATGGTCTATAAATATACATGGTCTTGCGCCCGACTATCATTTCCATATAATCTAAGAGCTCTTCCATTGCCTCGCACCAATTTCCTAAAAAATAGCTTTAGCTATAACGGTGCGGTTATATGGAATAGCTTGTCCCCTGAATTGCGGCAAGCAAAATCACTTCAATCCTTCCGAAATGGTTGTCGCAATTTCTTCCTTGAATCGACAAAACACACACGGCATCTATGTAAAAAGAATTTCCTTATTTTTTTCTATTTTACTTTTAAATTTTAGATCATGTTTATATAGATTAAAATAAATTGTAACTGTAATAATAGATTGTAATAATATTATTATTTTATCTGATAGATTTACCGTGTCTAAATAAAAATAAAGTTTTAAGTTTAAGTTTAAGTTTAAGTTTGTTACAACTCATTATTAATGACCTGGTCTGGTCTGTCGCTTCCAACCAAGGCGTTTTTTCCTGCCTGTATGTTAATTAACGCCTTTGTATGCAGCTTGAAGTTGAGGACTATTCTGACATTGCTAGCTTGACTCGGGTACGGAAACGCATGGAGGACAAACAGTTAAATTGCTGTCGATGGTTCCTACATCAGGGTTTGGTCATGATTTATGAGCACATAGCCAGGTCGCACAAAATTATTGCCATAGTGTTTTTGTTAGCTTGTTTGTTTTTGTAATTCAATTAAAGCGATTACCATTTGTCCAAAGTGGCCCTCGGGCCGACCCAACGTAAGAATGAAAAAAGTTTTGTTTATCATCTACAGTTTCCGCATTGTTTACAAGAACTATACGAGAATAGAGAGTAATTAAATGATTGGAGCAAACTATTTTGATACTCAAAAGACATGTTTCAGTTTAGTACGAATGAACTAGTCTGGCCTGTCAGAGGCAACAAAGGCGTTGATTCTGTCCGTTTATTGATTAACGCCTCTATATGCAGGGTGAGGAGTGCACAGTGACTAGTGCATAGTGAGGACTGTGCTGTGGCATTTAATTGCTTGCTTTGACTCGAGTAGAAACACATTTAGCGCCCGGATATATATAGCAAGGTGGCTTGGCTGGCCAACGCACTAGGATATCATTACCGTGTGTGACTGTAGAGCAGCAGAGGTAAAATGGTCCTAAAGGCATCCGGTGATGGGAAAACCCATTTACATAAAACTTCATGTTAAATTTGTTTTAGCCCTCATTAGGCATACTCTTGATCTCATACTCAATTCGGAATTGCGATCGATTTTTTTTCACCTTCGAAGGCCTTTTACCATATTAATACTTGGATTCAGCCGATGTGTCATTTGACAAGGTTTTACGTGTCATATTGCGCACTTTAACCGAGTGCCATTTTAATGGCTGGCGCGCTCTTTTTCTCATTTGAGTCGTGTGCCAGTTTACTCAAAAGCGTGTCATTTTACATGTTGCCGTTCTCGACAAACTAAATGAGTGATTGAAATTAACAAGCGACGAGGAAACTTGAGATGTCAGCAAACACATTTCTGAACATCATCGACTTACAACCACAATATTGACTGCGACTCTGCGCAATGCTTAACCTACAGCGCCAACTGCTTTCAACGAATGATTCTGGAAAGCTGGTTTACTAAATTAGAACACACGACTCATTCACGATATTAACATTACGGACGAACAGTGCGACATAACTTAACGACCTAACTTTACCGACGGATCCAGACCGACCAATCACGACCGACCTACGCCACTTGAGTCTTACAGCCAATAACATCACGGCAAAACTGACCAATCAGTTTATACGAGGGGGACTTAGAACATTCGACTGACAAGAACTATTCACTTGACTCGGATGAAGACTTCCGCTCAGGTTGATGAAACGTCAGTCACTTCTAACGACAACAGTCCTTCTCAGGACCACACTCACCCGGACGATCAAGATACACTATTAAACTTAGTATTGTTCGTCTTGACACACGCCTTTGTTTTTATCGTGCCATGTAAACAAAGGAAAGATTTTAATAAGTCGTGCTATCGGACATGCACGCCGCTCAGAAGCCGCCGTGTCATTTGGCACCAAAGTGCCTATCGTGTCATTTCACCATTCCCTTGCGTTCACCTTTAAAAACGTTTTCCCATGTAGAATCACATTTGATACTTTTTACAAAATTTCACTTATTAAAGTATTTCTTCGCGCTAGAAAAGAAATCATTGAGTTTGAAAAGGTTTCAGACGTCAATGAGGTTTCGGTGTGTGGGGGAGGGGTAAATGCTCGACACTCCCATCAAAAAGACATCCGTAAATGAGCAACTTCCGACGGCTTCTTATCTGTTAATGTTAATTGCAATTTTAAGCACACGAAAGCAAAGCCATGTTCGTTTTCTGTCATAAATTTTTAATTTAGGTTAGCAGCTTCAAAAAGGGATAATTCGCTAGTTGATGATACAACTTAAATTACTTTATACTTACAGTTCTTTTAACTCTTTCAAGTTGTTGAATATTCCCTTCGGTAACATCTTCAGTTCGTTTCCATAGGCTGATCTACAAAGACGATAAAAACCACAAATTATAGCCCAGCAAAGTTTTGATTATTATGCTACTGATCCTTCTTTGCCTTATTCTACTGAAACATGTTTCAAATTTTTCACTGTTGTGTTAATTACAGAGCTTTGTCCTGGTTTGTGAAACCAAAAAAAAAAACCTTAGTCTTAATTTTTCCAATTCGTCACGTGACCTGTGTTAATCTTTGCCATCCTTGACCTTTCTGGTTTTTTCTGGCCTCTTTAGTTTTTTGCTGCATTCATAAAGTACTGTATTATTTTATGGTTTCCTTCTTCTACAGACAGTACCCTTGAGCAGTTTCGACTAACCAAAGAAATAAAATATTTGCTGAAGTGCTTTTCACTATCTGTTTATCTAAAGAAAATTGGCATGGGGAGTCACGATAAGTGGCAGCGCAGTGCCATTACCTTTTCAATAAATGTATTGTTACACTGCCTAAAGTATCATAATGTCGCTGGTTGTTGTTTACCGCTGGCTCTAAACGACGACGGCAGCGACGAAGACGTAGTTATTTGTAAATTGCTCATTAGGTTATCCATTAAAATTTGAAATGTTTATGATAACTTTGGGGAAAAGAAACAACGTAAACGCCATACTAGAAGTATCTGCCGATCATTGTGGCAGCATGGTAAACTAAAAATTCTTTTATTCAGATTGTTTCCAGGCCTCTTCAAAATAATTGTTCCTCAGAGAGAGAACAAAATAGCGTATTGTTGTTAACAAATTCTTGGCCCCAGCAACTCCTACATCGACCAAACTGTCCCAATCAACTTAGCAATCATATCAATAAATAACAAAATCGAAAGGAGCCCTTACATAGTAAATTGCAAATAAGTCAATATATTTTCAAATAAAAGTGTGCGTGACCAGAAACTTTACCAAATAATTTCTACTCTTAGAAAATAAAAAAAAAAATAATAAAAAAACACAACCACTCACAAAATTTCCAAAGACTTTAAGGTCCTGAATATTCCTGGATGAAGACTGCTTAGTTTGTTGTTGTAGATATACCTGTGATTTGATTGGAACGATTGACAAAAACGCAAATAGCGCTCTTTGTTTTCTGTTATGAAGCAATCTTAAAAAGAAACCCGACTTTCCAATCATAGTCTAAAACCCCAACGCTTTGGTAGCATCATAAATTGCAGCACATTTGGAGCTTAGAAGTAGGTAAAGTAAAACTTAATTTAGACAGGATAGCCCTTTCAGCTCGAAAGCTGATATCCATAGGGGCCATGTATCGAAGAACAATTATGATTACAATATATGCAAAAACTTAAATTATGTTGAGAGCTATTGACCGTAAATACCGAGAATCCGCCGACAACTGAAAAATTCGTAATTCAGTTTATTTTTTCTAGAGGACCCTTTTTATGAACCTTTTTCTAATGAACTTTTTTTCCGATGAACCTTCAATCCACTGTTCAAACCTTTGATCTACTGTTCTGCCTTGTTCTGCCTTGTAGAATAGTTATGAATGTCAGAATCTACGAATGTTTTTTTAGCAAGGCTGGCGTCATTGCTTTGGCGGTGTAAAACAAAATTTCATTCAGCTGATTCGTGAGTCTTACAGTTCATCGCGATTATTTGATAACCATTACAGAGTGGGACTATAAATATTATGCAAGGTAAATTTTTAGTTTGACACACTTCGCCAACATAACAAATGAATTTTAGCTGCACGTCTGCGAATCGAAACAAAAACTTAATCACTGCAATTATGGAGAGTTTTTGGTAAGTTACCATTTCAAATATTTACGCCACACGAGGCTGCACTCCACCCTCTTTCACAATCTGATCTGATCTGTATGTTGGATTATTTGGCAGCGTACAGCTATTGCGATCACACAGCTTTCGGAATGATGTAATAAGTTTACATCTCTCTTTTGTCTCGGTCGAGACACTCAACTTCGTTCATTGCATTTCGGTCAATGTTAAAAAAGGACCCTGGACGGATTTCCACCAGTAGACCACGAAGAAAAAAAAATGACTTGTCACAACCAAAAGTTCATTAAGTTAAGTTCATTCAACCAAACCAGTTCAGTGGCCTTGACTTCTCATCCCTCCATAAATAATTTTCTGAGTATTCGGCTGACAGCCACCTTCATTTTATTACTTCATTGCAAAGCAATTCAGCACTAGAGCGACGTAAGCTTAGGTGATACCCAGCCAAGTCATTATAAAAGATAATTATATATCAACTACCTCTGATAGATAATTGAGAGAACGTTTGCAGGTCAATTCAATCTTAAATGTCTGCATTGTTAGGAATATAGAGTGAACTACTCGCAAGTACTATGGCTGAGTCAATTTATCAAAAAAGTTTGGTGATAGTGCTTTTAACTGTTTGAAATCTAACCGCCTGTGATAAATAATGGCGATGGCAGGTTAGTACTAACAATGATATTATAATATTGAGATTTTTGAAAATTGACCGTAGTTTCATTTACTTCCTATTTGTTTATTATTTTTCCTCCGCTGCTTTCTATTGAGTATATTTGCTAACAGGGCAGCGTTCACCCATTTTAAAGCACTCGACAAGTTATACTACATCTGCTCAGCCAGTATCTTCTAATGAAATTGCTATTAGCTACTAAAATTAGAAGTCTTTGGGAACTACTAAAATCGGGAATGTTCCCACTAAGTATTTGGGAATTGTTTAGGCCTGCTATATGACCTTGAAATCTTTGTGCGAGATCCATGAGCTTTGGTTTGTTCTGTGCTGCAAGACCACACATCTATTTTTACATTTTGAGTGATGTGTCTTTGACAGTTGAAATAGGGCTTAATTCTCGTACAGTAATCGTCATCGCTGGTCATGTTTGGGTTTGTCCTTGATCTTGTTTATGGTTCCCATCGGGAAGTTTTCTTTAGGGTTTCAGTTCTCGAATTTTAGTCGTTTTTGAAGTACTTTGTTGTTCATTTCGAATGTCTAGTAAAGTTATTTGGGTTAGCGTTCTAAAAATATGTTCACTCTGCCAAGGTCACTTGTCGCGTAACTCTAAACATACCTATACCAATAGGATATTTAAGAGCGTGTACTGAGGGCTGAATTAGACACAAAGACCCAGTCTTTCAGATGAAGAGCCATTTAGAGTCATTAAGCAGAGAGGGAATGAAAGTTCTTGATCAAACTCCCAGTGCCTCCGTTTGCACGAGTTTCAGCTAATTAACTCCATCAGTCCAACAAACCAAACAACCTTTAATTCGTTAACGGGACACTGATTAGCCTAAGCTTGGCCGAGACGACCAGCCAGGAAGTATTTTTTCACAGGTATTCGACAATTTTTCATTGTATAAATTGTAACTCGTGAAATGAGGTTAGGAATCCTTCTGCGATAGAGGGCCAGTCCTCTAACATCTTGAATTGAACGCGATGCTCAACGAATTTTCTGGAAATATGCTATTTCCGCAGTCCCAATTGTTCTCGCGGTTTAAAAATCTGGTGCCGAAATTACGTCTCAAGAACGAGGCTAAGAGCGAAGTCGCTCTCGTCGTTAGAAAAAATGAAGTGCTGTGCTGGCGAAAATGAGCGACTGTTTCACGAAATTTAACGTGATGGAGTGAGTAATTATTAGTGAGAGAGAGGCTATCAGCTAAGTAATGGCGGCAAAAGAAAGAAAAAAAAAAGGTGTAACTGTCCCATTTCCGGGTGCCTCCGTTTGCACGAGTTTCTTAAGCTAGTTAACTCCACCAGTCCACAAACTAAATAATCTTAAATTTGTTAACGGGACTATGGTTAGCCTAACCTTGGCAGAGACGACATCCCAAGAAGTATTTTTTCACAGGTATTCGACAATTTTTCATTGTGTTAATTGTCACTCGTGACAATGAGGTTGGGAACCTTCTGCGATAGAGGGCCAGTCCGCTAACGTCTTGAACTGAACGCGATGCTCAACGGATTTGCTTGAAATGGGCCATTTCCGCAATTCCCAGTGTTCTCACGATATTAAAGAAATCTGGTGCTAAAATTACGTCGCGAGAACGAGGCTAAGTAGGAAGTCGCTCTCATCGGTAAAAAGAATAAAGTGCCGTGTGAGTGAAAATGAGCGAAACTTTTTAGAAATTCAATGTGGAAAAGAGAAAAGTAATTTGTGGGATGGAAGATATCAGTTAAGTGATGGTCGCAAAGGAAAGAAAAAAGGGAGAACTGTTCCATTTATGCATTGCAGCAATAAAGCAAATAAAAGTAGCCGCCTCTGGAAAAGACCACTAAACGTTGTTGGATGCTTAGACGTACGCCTTCTTTGACATTTCAAATTTCTTGTTTAGCGTCTGCATATGCAGACGCTAAACATGCAGCCTTGCTTCAGTTGTTTTCATGTCATTATTTATCATATTATTATAATCAAACGAATTAAGGTACAAACAACAGGATAGTACTAAACAAAAGTAACTAAATGAGAATAAAAGAGTAACGATTTAAAAAGAAACCAAGACAATTTGTAAATAAGATCGTTTCGCTATAATACTGTAATAATAACACGAGAGGTTCTATGACCGAGACTATTGAAAAGGCTGATGATTCTGTGACTTAATTAAAACAAAGAAAAGACCTACGTACTTTGGTTGACGAATCGCACTAAAAAAATAGCAAAGACACTTGAGATAGCGGTAGCTTGGATCCCACTGATCGTAGCAAAGGTAGCGCTGTGGCCTCAACCAACTTCTTCTTTTTTTAAACGGTGCGCGTCGCACTTTTATAGTTTATGCTGCGTGAAGAAAGCTAAGGCGTTGCAAAAAGTAGCGCCCACAATAAGAACTATTTCCTAGGCAGCAAAGATTCCAAAGTTGTGATACAATTCCAGGAAAGCTCGATTTCTACCGACGCCTTCATTGTAGATCACGTAATTGACTACATAATAACTAAATATAAATCAAAAGGAAGTTTGTAGGAAATTAGTAGAAATAAACGGCGTTTCGAAACTAACAGTCTTATGTACCCATCGTAATCAGAGTTTGCATACTCAACGACTGAGAAGCATTCCAAATGCAGCTCATTCGCAGTCCATTCGGAACTCATAAAAGAATACTCCTGTAACGCTAAGGGTTTGCTGCAATATCGTTTATCCGTCAATGATATAAATATTAATCAACTGGTTCTCAAAGATCTATTTTCTTTAAAAGACATGTATTTTTGTCTAACCAAATTGTCCCGTTACAGGGCGTTATCCATATCTTTCATCATTTTCGATTACATCGTAACTTCTAAGGCTGTTTTCATTGAGAGACGATAACTTTTCCCAGCAGGACCAGATGTAGGTTCGAGTTTCCTTTGCATAGTTGCAACCATCTCTAACCTATGGAGCCGTTTGTGTTTCTCAGGCCCGTGAATGAAGCAGTCCGGTAAACCAGTTGTAGTTGGCAGTGCTCGAAAGGTACGAAACGGATGCTTAGTTTCTCTTATAGCAGCAGTTGTGTGCAACATACTGCTCGTTGAATTCTTAATAATAAGCATCACCTGAACTAAGTTGCGATGTACGAGTGTGATTCTTAGTATGTGTTGTCACTAAGCCCAGGGTTAGGTTTTTTATCAAACTATAGGTGTCCAAATACAGCATGAGCCACTAGAGCTCAGATCAAAACATTGAAAGTTTTGTCGAACATGATTGGTTATTGACAAGCTGATCTTTAACACGAGTCCTATAATAAAATATGAAACGAGTCAAAAAGAAACCGCACTAAAGTCCAATGCAAATAATTGATTCGAAACAGTCATTTTTTTTCCGACATGTGTCTCCTGGCATAAAACGCACCAGTCCAGTGCAGGTTTCGCCTATACTGGTTTCATTAACTACGATGTATTTTTTCTAAATCCTTGATCAGAATGTTTCATTTTCACTCGACTGTTCACTATGCTGCATCAAGCTTGATCAAAATGTACAGGGTCGAGAGAAATATCTTGACACGGTATGAACAAAACTCCATAAAAAGCGTATTTTCCTCAGTTCTGGTCTTTTGTCCTTACAGTCTCAAAGTATGTATCGATATATCGATAACCCGCCATCCTT